CCTACTTTTCCCTCTTCCTCTGCTTGCCACTCCCCCTACTTGTACTCACTCTTTATCTCTCTGTCAAAAAAATAAATAAAATCTTAAAAAAAAAAGAAATAAAGATACTAGCTGGACTTGAAAAGAGCATAGGAGACACTAGAGAATCCCTTACTATAAAGATAAAACAACTAAAATCTAGTCAAGCTGAAATTGAAAATGCTATTGCAGAGAGATACAGACCCAAGAGGAAGCCATAAAAATGAGGATGAATGATTCAGAAGAGAGAATCCGTGATATAGAAGATAAAATGGTGGAAAATAAGGACCTGGAACAAACCTATTAAATCATGAAGGGAGACTTAGACAAATCAGTAATTCCATAAAACAAAAGTAATAACAGCATTATATAATGGGGTCCCAGAAGATGAGGAGTGGAAGAAAGAGGCAGAAGGTTCATTTGAACAAAATATAGCTCAGAACTTACCTAATGTGAGGAAGGAAACAGGCATTCAAGTGCAAGAGCCACACAGAACCCCACTCAAAATCAACAAAAATAGGTCAGCATCTCAACATATTACAGTGAAGCTTCCAAATTTTAAAGATAAAGAGAAAATCCTAAAGTGCCTTGGGAGAAGAGGACCTTAACCTACAAGGGTAGACACATAAGTCCAGCAGCAGACCTAGCAGGCCAGAAAAAACTGGCATAACATATTCAATGTGCTAAATGGGAAAAATACACAGGCAAAAATAGTGTATCCAGCAAGGCTGTTACTCAGAATGGAAGTAGAGATAGATGATAGATAGATAGATAGATAGATAGATAGATAGATAGATAGAGAAATGAAGGAAGGAAGGAAGGAAGGAAGGAAGGAAGGAAGGAAGGAAGGAAGGGAAAGAGAGAGAGAGAGAGAGAGAGAGAAAGAAAGAAAGAAAGAAAGAAAGAAAGAAAGAAAGAAAGAAAGAAAGAAAGAAAGAATTTGTGAGCACTAAATGAGCCCTGCAAGAAATACTAAAGGAGATCCTTTGAGCAAAGACAGAGCCCAAAAGTAAAGACCAGAAAAAAACACAGTCCATGGGAACAGTGACTTTACAGGTAATATGATGGCACTAAATTCATATTTTTTCAAGAATTACCCTGAATGTAAATGGACTAAATGCTCCAATCAAAGTACATAAGGTATCAAAATGGATTAAAAAAATAAGACCCATCAATATGCTGCTTACAGGAAATTCATTTTAGACCCAAAGACAACTCCAGATTGAAAGTGAGGGGGTAGAGAACCATTTATCATGCTAATGGACATCAAAAGAAAGCTGGAGTAGCAATCCTTACATCTAACAGATTAGTTTTTAATCTAGTCTATAATAAGAGATGAAGAAAGATCATAATAAAAGTGTTTATCCAACAAGATCTAACAATCATAAATATTTATACCTCTAACATGCAAACAGCCAAATATAAAAACCAAATACTAACAAAATTAAAGAAATTCATTGATAATCCTACAATAATAGTAGGGGACTTTAACACCCCAATTATACCAATGGACAGATCATCCAAGCAGAATATCAACAAGGAAACAAGGGCTTTGAATGACACACCGGAGCAGATGGACTTGACAGATATATTCGGAGCATTTCATCACATGCAGCAGAATCCACCTTCTTCTCAAGTGCATATGGAACATTCTCCAGTAGATCACATACTTGGTCACAAATCAGTTTTCAACTGGTGCAAAAAGATTGAAATCATACCATGCATATTTTCAGACTACAAGGATGTAAAGCTTGAAGTCAACCACAAGAAAAATTTGGAAGGGCCACAAATACATGGAGGTTAAAGAACATCCTATTAAAGAATGAATGGGTCAACCAGGAAATTAAAGAAGAATTTTAAAAATACATGGAAACAAATGAAAGTAAAAACATGACAGTTCAGAACCTTTGGTATGCAGCAAAGGCAGTCCTAAGATGAACATATATAGCAATATAGTCCTTTGTCAAGAAACAAGAAAAGTCTCAAATAATAGCCTAACCTTACACCTAACGGAGCTGGAAAAAGAACAATAGGTAAAGCCTAAATCCAGCAGAAGAGAAATAATAAAGATTAGAGCAGAAGTCAGTGATATAGAAATCAAAACAATGGTAGAACAGATCAACAAAACTAGGAGCCAGATCTCTGAAAGAATTAGTAAGATCGATAAACCCCTAGACAGACTTCTCCAAAAGAAAAGAGAAAGGGGGGATCCCTGGGTGGCGCAGCGGTTTAGCGCCTGCCTTTGGCCCAGGGTGCGATCCTGGAGACCCGGGATCGAATCCCACATCGGGCTCCTGGTGCATGGAGCCTGCTTCTCCCTCTGCCTGTGTCTCTGCCTCTCTCTCTCTCTGACTATCATAAAGAAATAAAAATTTAAAACAAAAGAGAAAGGACCCAAATCAAGAAAATCATGAATGAAGGAGGAGAGATCACAGCCAACATGAAAGAAATACAAATAATTATAAGACAGTATTATGAGCAATGATATGCCAACAAATTAGGCAATCTGGAAGAAATGGATGCATTCCTAGAAACATAAACTACCAAAACTGAAACAGGAAGAAACAGAAAACCTGAACAGACCCATAACCAGCAAGGATATTGAAGCAGTCATCAAAAACCAAGAGTCCGGGGCCAAATGGCTTCCCAGCAGAATTCTACCAAACATTTAAGGAATTAACACCTATTCTTCTGAAACTGTTTCAAAAAATAGAAATGGAAGGAAAACTTTTCAAACTTTTTCTATGAGGCCAGCATTAACTGGATCCCAAAACTAGGACAAAGACCTCACCAAATAAAGGAGAATTACAGACCAGTATCCCTGATGAACAAGGCAAGGACAAGAACCATAAGATTCTCTCAACTGATACACAAAAAGCATTTGACAAAATACAGCATCCTTTCTCAATTAAAACTCCCCAAAGTGTAGGGATAGCAGGAACATACTTCAATGTCATAAGCCAAAAGACGAATATCATCCTCAGTGGGGAAAAACTGAGGGCTTTTCTCCTAAGGTCAGGAACACGACAGGGGTGTCCACTCTTAACCACTGTTTTTCTACATAGTACCACAAGTCCTAGTCTCAGCAATCACACAACCAAAAAAATAAAAGGCATTCGAAGCGGCAAAAGAAGTCAAACTCTCCCTCTTTGCAGATGACATATTCTCTGTAGAAAACCCAAAAGAGGGATGCCTGGGTGGCTCGGTGGTTGGAGATCTGCCTTCGGCTCAGATCCCTTGAGTCCCAGGATCGAGTCCCACATCGGGTTCCCTGCATGGGGCCTGCTTCTCCCTCTGCCTGTGTCTCTCTGTCTCTCTCATGAATAAATAAATAAAATCTTTATAAAAAAAGAAAACCCAAAAGACTCCACCCCAAGATTGCTAGAGCTCATACAGCAATTCGGCAATGTGGCAGGATACAAAATCAATGCCCAGAAATCAGTGGCATTTCTGTACATTAACAATGAGACTGAAGAAGGAGAAATCGAGGAATCGATCCCATTAACAATTGCACCAAAAATCACAAGATACCTAGGAATAATAAACCTAACCAAAGGGGTAAAAGATCTGTACTCAGAAAACTCTAGAATACTTATGAAAGAAATTGAGGAAGACACAAAGAAAAAGAAAAACATTCCATGCTCATGGATTGGAAGAACAAATATATTGGGATATTTCAGCCATCAAAAAGAGTGAAATCTTAGCATTCACAGTGTTGTGGAGCTAGAGGGCATTGTGTTAAGTAAAATAAGTCAGTCAGAAAGACAAATATATGATTTCTTAAATTCATATGTGGAATTTAAGAAAAAAAAAACATAGGGGAAGAGAAGGAAAAATAGAATAAGAGGAAAACAGAGGAGGCAAACCATAAGAGACTCTCAAGTGGCGGAAAGAAACTGAGGGTTGCTGGGAGGGAGGCGGGTGGGGTGATAGGGTAATTGGGTGATGGGCATTAAAGAGGCACTTGATGTAATGAGCATTGGGTCTTACATGCAGCTGATGAATCACTAAATTTTGCCCCTGAAACTAATACTACCATGTATGTTAACAAAATTGAATTTAAATAAAAAAGGAAAAAGCACTTTTAAAAAATTTAAAAAAACTGTTGCAGATACAACAGATATTTTTTTAGCTGCTTTATATAACAGCCCTATACAAAGTCTGAAGACAATTAAGTATTCCTATCTCAATCAGTTTGGGCTGCTATAGCAAAATACCGTACACTGAGTGGCTTAAACTGCACTGGCTTATTTCTCACAAATCTGGAGTATGGAAGTCTGAGAGCACAGGGGCGAACATGGTCAGGTTCTTAGTGAGGGCCCTCTTGATTTTCAACAGGATATGTCCTTGTATCCTGACAATGTGGAGAGCAGAGAGAGGAAACAAACTTTGTCATGTCCTAGGACACTAATCCCGTCACGAGGGCTCCATCCTTGTGGCCTAATTACCTCCCAAAGCCCACCTACCATTCCCATCACATTGGAAGTTAGGACTTCAACCTATGATTTGGGGATTTGGAAGGGATATAAACGTTCAATTCATGAGAGTCACTGATCCTTAGGAAACTTACATCTAACAGGACAGAAGAATGTGTAAGGACTAAATATAAAACAGTATGGTAATTAATATTCTAGGTATGGGAATGTGAGATCTACAGTAAAGGAACATTGTCCTCTCCCTGGGTAGTTCAAGGACAAGTCCAGTAGTGCCAGGAGAGGGCAGATTGTATCCCAGGGAAGGAACCCTTTAAACAGGTGCAGGGTAAGGACTCTCGGGGCACAGCCATGTCGGTGGGGGCTGTTGACTAAGATATGCAGAGTCTCTTGCATATTTGGAAGTATTTGTTGGAACGATATCTAAAATTCTTAGTAACAATCATCTAACATTATTACTTAAAAAAAATTTAATAGAAGAATGGTATTAAGGTTAATAGACTTGACTGTGCCTTTGAATTGTAGCTAAGCAGTTTGTTTCCTCTGCAGCAAATGGAGATTTGGCTGATGGTGACTGATGTCACCCTACAAATGCAAGATGAGAATAACTCTGGCCTCCCCAAAACCGTGCCAGTGTGTGTGGCTCCCTCATGTGTGCTGAGCCAGGAAGTCCGGGAAGCGCTTACCGAGGCTGCCCCTCACTGCTTTCTCTTCAGGGACGCTCTCCGAACCCAGGGTATGCTTTCTTCTTCTTCATAGCTCTGACCCTGGGGTGGCTGATGGATGCCATGAAAGGACATTGGGGCTTGTAGACGCCTCTGACTTACTCTGGGACTGCTGGTCCCTTCATGAAGCCAACCATGGACCTGGCACGTGGAGTGGAAGAGACCCGTGGTACCGGACTTCGGCTTTCACTGGCCCCTGTCACGGCCACCCGGACAGAACCGGAGCGCTGGCAGTGCTAACACCTCCGGTGAAAGATGCTGTTGGTCAGTCAAGGCTTATCCCTTGATGGCACACTTTACGGGTGCAGAAGCCGCTTGACGCCATTGCCTGGAACATCACTTTTTAAAACAAAAAGCTGGAAATTATACATATACACTTAGCTCTTTTCTTCCCAGGAGTCAGTAGAAGCCTGGCCAAACTATATATTTTTATTTTATTTTGTTGAGCTTTAATTTGCGTACCACAAACTTCACCTTTCTAAAATGATTTTGAATATAGTTTTGTGTGGTTTTCCAGCTTAGCACAACGGTGAGTGTAGGACTGCTTTCCGTGCAGTGCATGTGTCACTGGATACAGTGGGTGGGCCCTAAGCCTGTGCCCTCTGCCCACCCTGCCTGCAGGAGGGTGGCAAAGGGCACTGTCTTTACTGGCAGGAGACCTCTTTTTCCTTCAGTGCTTCAATAATCTGAAGTGTCTCTTTTAGCAGGTCGATTTGTTTGTGTTGAACGAAGTGTCCTCCTGCTTCAGAAGCCCCTTCTGGGTGTGGACTCTGGCGCTCACTCCTGTGAACTGACTGGCCCCGTAAAGCTCAGTGAACTGGATTCTATCACTCAGGTCAACTCTATTTGCTGCCTTCAAGGTGGGTAGTCAATCCTGGTGGAAATGGTGTTTATATATTTTTAAACATCACACTTCATATTCACTTAACTCATTTATTCCACGAGTTTTTATGTCTGACACATCCCAGACTTTGGAGACCCAAGGAACAAAGTCAGGAGAGGTTCTTGCCTCTCAGACGCACACTGTGTACAGCAGGAGCTCAGTGAGCTTGCACATAATCAAGTACAGAGCCTCAGCGTTCCGGCTGCTGCTCCACGGGCTGGTTGCTGGGACCGCACTGTGCTCTCCTGAAGGACAGGAGCCTGTGCTGAGATCTGAAGAGTGGGAAGTAGCCAATTAGGGAAGGAGTCCCTACTGCTTAACAAGGAGAATGTCTGTCTGATAGGAAAAGAATAGGACATATAAGGGCTGCTGTCAGGGCAGAGTGGGGGGCACCAGAGTCCAGGAGGGGCGGGAAAGGCATGTGGATGGAGGCAGTGACTGCACAGGGAGGGGGTGACCCTGGCAGGCACGTACTCGGTCGTCGACAGAGGCCAGCGCTCCAGGTTTTGTCTCCACAAAGCAGAGTGGAAGGGCGAGGGCCTTGGATAGTGGCCAGTGGGAGGCCAAGCACCCGTCCCACGGTGTAGACCAGGGAGGAGGCAAAGTAAATCTGGAAGTGGGTTTAGTTGGAGGAAACTTGACAGGCTGCATAATGAATTCAGTACAGAGGGAGCAAGACATAGATGGAGGGTGAGAACCTACGTGATGACCTCTGAGATCTGGTACTTTGTAAAACACGGTATCCTGTCACTTGCTTTCCTGACTCAGTACTCTAGCAGGATGTCCTGCCAGGTGTGTAGGTAAAGATGTTACTCAGGTCGTAATAGTTGTATCACGTTCCCTCCTGTGAATAAACGGTATTTGTGGGGATCCCTGGGTGGCTCAGCGGTTTAGCGCCTGCCTTTGGCTCAGGGCGCGATCCTGGAGACCCGGAATCAAGTCCCACGTCGGGCTCCCGGTGCATGGAACCTGCTTCTCCCTCTGCCTGTGTCTCCGCCTCTCTCTCTCTCTCTCTGTGTGACTATCATAAATAAAAAAAAAAACAAAAAACAAACAAACAAAAAAAAAAACGGTCTTTGTGCTGATAGAGATCCACATGTTCCTCTGTTTCTGCAATTATAGACAAGGCTGAAATAAACATCCTTCATGTGAATCCCTACTGATTTCTTTGCAGGAAGATTTCAGGGTCTTAGGATTCATATTTTTTTAATCAACTTTATTGAGATATAACTTGCATCATTACAATGCACTCATTTAAAATGTTTTAAAATGTCTCACAAAGTGTGCTACCATCACTATAATCTAATTTAAAACTGTGGTGGGGCACCTGGCTGGCTCAGTTGGTAGAGCAGTGGCGGTGCTACCCTTGATCTCAGGTTGTGAGTTTGAGCGCACACTGGGTGTAGAGATTACTGTAAAAAAAAAAAAAAGCCTTAAAAAATTCTCATCATCCCCCAAAATAAACTTCATGCCCATTGTCAGCCACTCCCCATTATTTCTCCTATCCCAGCCCTTACCCTGGTCTTAGGGAAGTATTGATCTACTTTCTGTCTTTATAGATTCGCTTTTTCTGGATATTTCACATACACGGAATCATATATATGTTTTATGCTGGGCTGCTTTTACTTGGCATAATGTTTTCAAAGTTATCCATGATGTACCATGTATCAGCACTTTATTTCTTCTTTCGGCTGAATATTTCGTCGTATGGATACACCACATCTTGTTTTATCTATTCATGAGTTAATGGGCACTGGGTTGTTTCCACTTTGGCAGTTGTAAATGGTGCTGCTGTGGATATTTGTGGACTAGCTTTTGTTTCAACAACCTGTTTTCAAATTTTGGATACGTATCTAAGAGTGGAATTGCTGGGTCATATGGGAAACCCTGTGCTTATTAGCCTTTTGAAGAAATGTGTTTTCCAAAGTGGCTACACTATTAGTGTATCCTTAGTATTATAAGATATTAAGTTAATTTCCAAACAGTGTACAAAAATTCACATTTCCAAAAGTAATTTCTAAGAGGGCCTATTTCCTTCAGCCTTGCCCACTACTAGATTCCTGAATCTTTTTATGATTTTTATGATCAGCAAAAACTATGATTCCACTTTTGTTGTTTAATTAACATTCTTCTACCCACTTGTGAGATTAAGCACTCGGCCATTGTGTTCAGGCCATTTGGATTTCTCTTTTGTGCATCTTCTTTTAACGTTAGTGCCAAAAGATAACTAAGGTCGTGATTTGAAGTGAGAAATGAGAGCAGCATAGCCTAGTGGTCTTGAAGAAAGTAGACTCTGACAAATCACCTGTCATCTGGGTCTTCCATTTTCTCAGGTGTAACACAGGGCTTAATAGAATCCACCTTAAAGCATTGTTGAAGATTAAATAAGATAATGCTCATAGGCTTTGGGGCTTGGGATACTCACAGACTAACGGAGAAGGATGACATCTCAGTGCTGCCGTTGTCATAGACCGTGGAGGAGGGCTGGCTGAGGGCAGGAGCCAGTGAGGCAGTAGGTGGGTGGGTTTGGTACTGTTAGGATTTGTCGACCAGAGTGGTGAAGGCCTTCCAGACAGATGAAGGCCATATGGAAAACCCACACAGATGCCAGGGGCAGTTGTCAAAGCTTTCTGTGCTGGAGGAGGCAGGGCCCTCTTGGGATGGAGCTGGCTTTGTCATGTTCTGCTATTCCTGGCCATGCTAAGGAGATTGTGTGATCATTTTGTTTTCTTAAATAAACAATTCTGTCAGCATCAGAGATAGACTATGGTACAAAGCTGGATTGGTTACGACAGGCTGTTTGGAAGTGTGCAGGGAAGGGAGGGCTGAGCAGACTGTGGGGTTTCCAGGAACCGGCCCTGCTGGGCCCCTGGGCACAGGCTGGGCTGTGAGGACAGCACACAGTGTAGACTCATGCCCTGCAGCAGATGTGCAGCACGCCTGTCCTTGTTACTGCCCAGAATCTGCTGCTGCTTGCAGGTCTCCACCATCTCCAGAGGCCTCCCTTCTATCTTCATTCTCCTGACTGGTTGCTACCTGTTCTTCTCTCACCCCTCACCTCTCTCAGAGCCCAGGACTCAGAAGAGAGAGAAGGGTGTGGGAACAGCCTCCCAAGCAGTGTAGCCTCTGCCCTACATTTGAGAGGGACCACCACCCACCCATACTGCTTAAGCTGTATGGGACCTTGGGGCACCTGGGTGGCTCAGTCAGCTGAGCATCCATCTGACTCTTAGTTTTGGTGCAGGTTGTGATCTCATGGGTCATGGGGTTGCTTTGGCTTGGTACTCAATGCTCGGTACTCTGCTTGAGATTCTCTCCCTCTGCCCTCTCATGTGTGTGTGCTCGCTCTCTCGCTCTCTCTCTCTCTCAAATAAATATAGAAATCAGTCAATCAGTTAATCTTTAAAAAAAGCTATATGGGACCCTGTTGTTATAAGACCATAAGAATCGCCACCACCTGTAGCACTGTATTATGAGAAAATATCTACCTGAAGAGCTTGGCTTCTAACGGAGGGTTTGAAAACCAACCCATTATCCATAACCTGTGAGTGTCACAGAGATGCAAAAAAAGGAAAACGTGTAGATTCTTATGAGGAAAGAGAGACTTGATTTTTCTAGTTTCTGAAGAGCATCATATTTAAAAACAAAAAAAAGATTCATAGGTGGGATTTCCAAAACATAAACTTAACCATTTTATAAATTGTTAAAATATCCATACTACCCAAAGCAATCTAAAGATTTAATGTAATCTGTCTAAATACCAAGAACATTTTTTTACAGAACTAGAAAAAATTCTCCTGTAATTTGTGTGGAACCACAAAAGACCCTAAATAGCCAAAGCAATCTTGATAAAGAAGAACAAAGCTGTAGGTATCACAATCCCAGCTGTGTAGGTATTTGTAGATATACTACAAAGCTGTACTAATCTAACACAAAATACTAGCACAAAAATATACACATAGATCAAGAGAACAGAATAGAAAGTCCAGAAATAAATTCATGCCTACATGGTCAGTTAACCTATGACAAAGGAGGCAAGAATACACAGTGGGGAAAAGACTCTCTCTTTAACAAATGGCGTTGGGAAAACTGGATGGCTACATGCAAAAGGATGAAATTGGACCACTTTCTTACATCACACACAAAAATAAATTCAAATGGATTGAAGACCTAAATGTGAGACTTGGAACCATAAAACTAGGAAGAAGAAAATATGGGAAATAATTTCTTTGACATTGGCCATAGCAACATTTTTCTAGATAGGTCTTTTCAGGCAAGGGAATCAAAAGATAAAATAACTATTGGGACTACACCACAATAAAAATCTTTTGTGCAACAAAGGAAACCATCAACAAAAAAGGCAATGGGAGAAGATATTTGCAAATGATATATCCAATAAGGGGTTAATATCCAGAATATATAAAAAACTTATATAACCCAACACCAAAAAACCACAAATAATCCAGTTAAAAAAAAATGATCAGAGGACCTGAATAGACATTTTTCCAAAGGAGACATCCACATGAAAAGATGCTTAACATCACAGGGAAATGCAAATCAAAACCACAATGAGATATCACATACTTGTCAGAATGGCTAAAATCAGAAGTATAAGAAGTAACAAGTGCTGGTGAGGATGTGGGGAAAAAGCAACTCTTGTGCACTGTTGGTGGGAATGCACATTGGTGTAGCCACTGTGGAGAACAGTACAGAGGTTCCTCAAATTACAGGTGCCCGTGTGGCTCAGTTGGTTAAGTGCCCACCTCCTGATTTTGACTGAGGTCATGTTCTTGGGGTCATGCCCATGTTGGGCTCTTTGCTCAGTGGCGAGTCTGCTTGAGATTCTCTCCCTTTCCTTCTGCCCCTCCTCCCACCCATGCGTATGCTCACTCTCCCTCTCTGTCCCTCCCTCCCTAAAAAGAAATACATCTTTTTAAAAAATTAAAAATAGAATTACCATATGATCCAGTAATTCCA